AACTAGTTTTCAATCCGACAAGTAGGCTTACTCAGATCGGGCTTTTCCGCTGCCGCTGCCGTTCCGCTACGGCTGTCATTGCGCTTGGGCCTTAAGTGAAAATTCACCAAATGGAAGACATCCTAATACCATAGAGGTAACTCTAAGACCACTGGGTCCCGAAGAAAATCATTATTATTTTTGGCTCACTCAGTACCAGAACAACGGTCCCAAGCAGTCCCAAGCTGTTTCACTCACCCCTGCATGTTCTGCATGAATCCACACACCCCTGATGTTAGCTGTCAAACTTTCATAGCGAATCAAAACAAACATTGTGTAGTAATAGAATTTCAACTAGAATAGGGTACGTTAATCGTTTGCTTGGGACCAATAGGCTACTAAAGTGGTGAGCCAATTTAAAATCGTTAGTTTCGTATTGATTGTTGCTAATACCAACAATCAATACGAAACTAACGATTTTAAAATTGGCTCACTACTTGACTAGCCTATTGGTTCCAAGCAAACGATTAACGTACCCAATTCTAGTTGAAATTCTAGTACTACGCAATGTTTGTTTTGAATCGCTATGAAAGTTTGACAGATAAAATGAGCGGTTCGTGGATTTTCCTATGTTTCGAGGGGTGCATCGATTAGTTTGGGACCGAGAGAGTACCAGAGCTGAGCCAAAAAGTTGAGCACGTTTCTTCGGGACCTTCTAGTCTTAGAGTTACCTCTATGCTAATACCAACAATCAATACGAAGCTAACGATTTTAAATTGGCTCACTACTTGACTAGCCTATTGGTCCCAAGCAAACGATTAACGTACCCAATTCTAGTTGAAATTCTAGTACTACGCAATGTTTGTTTTGATTCACTCACTAAAGTGGTGAGCCAATTTAAAATCGTTAGTTTCGTATTGATTGTTGCTAATACCATGGGTGATTTTTCAAATTGGGTACCACCCTAAAAATCTAGAATTCATGTAAAATAAAACCCATAGTAAGTGCTGGTTTTTTGAGATTTCCTTAAAGTAATTATTTTAACAACCCAAAAGAATGAAAACACTCTAAATCCGATGATGTTAATCGGGTAGATTAAATTCTTCAGATTATAAGAATAACACAACTTTCTAGGACTGAGAAAATTTACCATATTTGACCTTCTTGTTGTCCCCTGAGTAAAAGTCTAGAACATACTTATATCCTAACACGTCCTAATTTTTTGGTACCGCCATCTTTATGAACTTTGGTGTGTTGTCCCGATGATGGTCGTTTACTGAAAACTGATTGGAAAATGCGTGGACAACACCAGCTAAGGAAATCTAATGTAATCTACCCACCACTCGTTCCCAGAGACTCAATCTTGCTTCTTCCCCTTCATATCAGCTAGTGAAAGTTAAAAACTTTATTTAATAATTTTTTAAATTTGTTGAACCTCTTAACGGAATCCCTTTATGAAGAGCTTTGAGTGTTTTGGTTTATTTCAAGTAGTAGTAGCAGTAGACGAAATTCAATCAAGTAGTAGACGAAATTCGCGTATCTGTCAAAAGATAAGCAATTATAACGGAATTTAAAGGAAATGAACAAACACACTCATAGCTCTTCATCTATTAAGTCATTGGACAAGCAAACAATGTTTGCCTGACAGGTTCCATAAACTAAGACCAGCTAAACTTAAAAAAAGGTAGCAAGTAAATATCTACACGCAGAAAAAAATATTTTAAACGTAATAATATTTGACGTAAAATCAATAAGAATTTCATTTTGTTTTGGCTGTAAAAAGAAATCATTATTGTTTCAACAATCCAGTATTTTTGTTCCTCAAAACCCATGGATTGTTAAATCAAAAAGAAAATCTTTTCGAATTTACAAGAGCTTTCATGGTTTTGACGTAAGCTGTCAAATTTGGCAGCTGGGTCAACAATAAAAATATGTTTGTTTTTAAAAGAGATTTCTTGTTGATTCAATCATATTTATTTTATGAAGTCTGAAAATTCACGCAGTAGAAATAAAAATATGTTTATTGATTAAAAAATCCGGGGTGATTTGAGATTTGGGTGTAATTGCTTTTGAAACAAACACGTCAATCACTGATTTCTTTTGAATAAAAGCTCAATCTCACAAACAAACTATACCAAATGATAGAGGAATCATTCCTCTACCGCATAGTGTTAATACTTTTCGAGATTGAGCTTTTATTCGCGAGAAATCGGTGATTGACGTATTTGTTTACAAATGCAATTACGCCCAAATCTCAAATCACTCCGGAAATAATATGGCATTTTTTTATGTTTTGTTATCTTTTTCACTGATCATCCTTCGGAAGGGAAGTAAAGCCGTTGGTCCCCGGTTAATTAGTTGATGGGTCGATATGTACGGTCCAGGTGTGGGAGCTGCCTTCCTGGCGTCAGGAGCATTGGTACTCAGTACGGAAAACAAGATCGATGAAAAAAAAAATCAAGGAAAAAAACAGAAAATTGATTATATTTAGCAACTGCAGCTTGAACTGCAGCATACTTAAATACTTAGCTCAAGTCTCAAGATTTTCGGAAATTTTGCACTTATTTCCCGAAATTCACAAGTTTTGTTATTGTTTACACTTTTGTCCGGGTGAAAACGAGGGAATGGTTGGTAGTTATTTTTGCATTCATGACCCGGGGAATGGACACAGCAAATAAATGCTAAATTAAAATGAACTGTTGTTGGATTAATAATAGAATATAGTTATTTTTACAATAGTTGCAGTTGAAAAGTGGCTTATTAAAACAAAAAGAATCCTACTTTGAATTTATATGAATAAGTATTATTGAAACAACAAAATGCAATATAATTTCAACCGGAATTGTTTGTTTAAATACAACTAAAGTTTTGTTTGGTTCAATGCAAACAATTTTCTGTCCGTGTATATGATAGAATAATCTTAATTTTATTCGTTCGGCAGGAATACTTAATGGCCCGGATATCAGGAAGTTAGAGAAGAGTACAGTCTACGAAAACAATCTTTTGCCAAAGGAACAAGGTGCCTGGAGATGCGTTGAAGATGTGATTCATAATTGTTTCGGAACAAATCGGTCTCCATTTTGTATTTTGTGTGTTTGGTTTTTTTAAATTTTTTTTTTGGTAATAATTGTAAAATTATACAGCTGATAACAAGTTGAATATAAATAAGTTCATGTTTTAGAAATAGTGAAATCTCCTCCTCCCTCTCCCCAATCATAAAATTGTAAATCTCCTCTAACCTCGAGACGACCGCGAGTATTCGGTTCAATCCCTGTAACTCTACACTGATAAAATTTCAAAGATTGTTTTTATGTGTCCCACACATGAATTTTTGCAATGTGATCAACAAATGATATTTATGTGTCAGACACATACTTAATATTGTACACATAAAGACCATGTGTAACCACACATACTATTCATTTGACTCATAAATTTCATGTGTGCTTCTGGGTGGATTCTGTTTATGTGTGGTCACATGAAAATCATGTGGAATTCCATATGGAAATTCGTCAATAAAAATGTGTGGAATTTTATTAATGTAGATTTAAGATAAGGATTAAGTATGTATAACGAAAATGATAGCTTGGCTCTGTAAAGTTTATTCGATTGAGCCTGTACAAATAAATCAATTCATAAAAATAAATCGGTCTCCAAGATTCCTATTAATTATTGAGAGTATGATAATCGCGTTCAACGATATAAATGTGCACATGTCCCTGAAAATCCATTTCCTGTATTGCTATCTCGATCAACTCGAAAAACAATTGAGCACCGAATCCGATGAACACGGAAAGATTCCTTCAGATTGCTGCACCATTTGAAGCTTGGTATGCAGGAAACAAATTGGTATCTCTGTTGAATAATGCTGGAACTTATTTGAAGCCGAGTAATTAAGAGTTGCAATTTTGGTTTTATTGAACATTTCCCATAGTTTTAGATCATTGAGTGAGTACTTTGTAAGAACAATCACCAAAATAAGCAATAATAGTATGTGTAATGGTTGTACTGAGAATTTATATCGAATTTATATTATTATATATTAGTAGTCCTTAAGTTTTCTACTAACGTAGCATTAACCAGATTTAAATAAAATGCTCCATTTGTAAAATAAAGGCATTTTTAGATTAAACTCGTATACCTCACCGTGTAAAATTTTGGAACCATCATCACTTTCATAGTTCATCTATTCTCCACGAGTGCCAACTTTGATTTGTCAATATCGTAGCATGCTTTACTTAGGCAGCATACGACCATCATCGGGACAACATACCAAAATTCATATAGAGGGTGGTACTAAAAAATTAGGTCGTGTTAGGGTATAAGTATGTTCTGGACTTTTAATCAGAGGACAACAAGAAAGTCAAAAATGGTGAATTTTCTCAGTCCTAGAAGGTCGTGTTATTCTTATAATCAGGTTTGACCGGTAACATTATTAAAATGAATAATATAACAATAAAGTATGATCATCGGATTTAGAGTGTTTTCATCCTTGTTAAAATAATCACTTAAAGGAAATATCAACATACTTGCACATATTATGGTTTTTTAAAGTGAATTTCCATGAATTCTAGATTTTTAGGGGGGCACCCAATTTGAAAAATCACCCAAACGAGGGTTAAGACAATGAGATACCGTTTTCAAATGTTCTAATCCTCAAGTAATTTTCTAAAAAAAAACTCTTCGACGACAATGTCGTAACATGCTTTAGTTAGGCAGTATACGACCGACATCGGGACAACATACCAAAATTCATAAAGAGGGCGGTACCACAAAATTACTCAGGGGACCACGAGAAAGTCAAATAAAGTGAATGTTCTCAGTCCTAGAAAACCTTGTTGCACAGTGTTTTAGGCAACGCTTTTGCTGCTAAAATTCATGGTGGATTTTTTCTCTCGTAACTACCTATCGCTTTTCAAAGAAAAAAATATTGAACTTATTAATTCCAATTGGTTACTAAATTTTATCTTTATTAGAAACAACAAACTAAACCAACGGTCTGTTTGAACCGCTTCTGTAACCTTTTTTCATTCTGTACAATTTTCCTTGAAACCTTCGTACAGAGCCCATGCCCAAATAGCAACGGCATGCGCTCCCGGATCCGGGTACTCGAAGTCGCTTTTTCCCGTTGCCGTCGCACAGTACGAAGCTCGTCCCGATTTCGGTACCATTTTTCTGGTTGCTGCGGCTTCCATTCTACACGCTCTGGCAAACTTTTCGACACTAATCAACGTCGGAAGATTTTGCAGAAGCGAATCTCGCAGCTGGAATTCCCCGTTTCTCAATGCATCCAGCATGGTACGATCACCAACCTCGGTTAAGGCGTACTGTACGATGGCATCGTTTCCATAGGTTAGGGCCCACAGCCAGTGTTTGATGGTAACTTTCGGGTCATTGTCCGCTTCTGCAAACGCTTTCGAGGCAGCCTGGAAGAATAAACTGTAGATGGCTCCAGAGGTACCTCCAATGCTAAGCTGCATGATCATGCTGATATCCTGGAGCAACTTGGCCGGATGGAGCAATTCCAGCTTCGAGTCAATACTAGCAAGTAGAGCCTCTGCTCCGTTGGCGATGGTGTTTCCTGTGTCACCGTCGCCACACTCTTTATCGTAGGTATTGAGCAAATCCCGGCTGGAGAGCAGTGAATTGGCAATATTCTTCAAAATTTTCCTGATCATGGGCTGGCTGGATTCGGCGAAACATAACTTGTATTCGTGGGCTATGCCTGTGACTTTAGACTCTAGACGATCATCGAAGTTCAGTACCTCTGATGGCGCTAGATCATAAGATTGGAGTCCTCCGAACAACGGTGACGCCACTTGTACTTCGTAGTCCAAGTATTCCAACAATTTGTCGGAGTATTTGAGGTTGAGCAGTGTGATCGACAATCCAGACTGGTTCAGAGATGTGAAAAAATTTCCCACATAAACGCGTTTGATATTGTAATCATTCATCAACATTTTTAATAATGTACTCATGAAAACACCCATGATGAATTCAGATGTTCCTCCGAGATTGTTGACAAACACTACTACATCAGTGTCAGTGTAGGGCGCAATTTTTCCAGCTATTCTATCCAGCGCAAAGTGTAGGATCGATTCAAAGCCATTGCACACATCCATTTTGTACACGCCTGGTTCACCGTGGAGTCCCTTCCCCAGCTCGACGTTATGCAATTTGCCATCAATCACATCAAAAGTGAAGCCAAACGTTGCTATGTAGCCTTCCCGCAGTAATCCCTCGCCGAACCGAATTAGCTCATCCATCGAATGACCAAGCTCAGCCATCGCTCCCAATATTTTTATCAGCAAAACACATCCAGCCAATCCTCGCTTCCCGACCGACTTTTTCGTCATCGATTCCATGATAGAGCAGTCATCATCATTCAGCAGGATCTGCAAATTCTCGTACCCGTACTGTAACCGAGCCCGTTCAACTGCCAGCCCGAAATTCAATCGATCGCCGGTGTAGTTGTTGACGACGAACAAAACACTCTCGTCTGGCTTGGCCACCATTCGAAGACAATCGAAGATCGACGTAGCCGATGGGGAACAGAACACATCACCGCAAACGGCACCGTCCAGCATGCCCTTACCGACGTAGCCATTGTGGGCCGGTTCATGGCCACTTCCTCCACCGGAGATTAACTTTACTTTGGCTTTGGATAACTGTTCCTCCCGACGTAAGACGCAGTTGCGATCCTGAATAAACCGTAGGCCATTGTTGGCGCGAACAAAACCCGACAGCGCAGTATTAACGTTCGAGAGCATGGTGTTCGATCGACCGATCACTCCTATCGACTGATAGGAGCGTGTTCAAACGAAAACAATCCTGTTGTAATGGTTTGGATGCATCTTCTCTTATCAGTCTGGGGTGGTACAGATTGCCATAACATTAAGTAGGGTTATGACTGCTATTTTGGACCGGTGTGCTCCCATTGTGCTTTAATTACGAAAATTTAAAATTGAAGGTTTCTTAATTTTTTTTTTGGCCAACGATGGAACAGAGTCGATTTTAGATTGGAGCGCCTTAGATAGCCGGAGCTGGCGGGTATGACTCCCGGTTCGTTAGAGGAAAAAATCTTTCGGGTTGGAAATGGATTTCTATGGGCATAGAGTGCTTACCTAATAAAAATTACCATAAACGAACGATAACTCAAATTGTTGAACTATTCCATAAATGGTTTGGATGATACCCCGAACATGTCGTTAAGCAAATTAACCATACAATTCTTATTAGGGTTACCACACAATATACAAACAAAATCATGCATTGGCATAGAAAGCTCTCAATTAATAACACCGGACCGGAGTGATTTGTGATTTGGGCGTAATTGTACATATTTGTAAACAAACACGTCAATCGCTGATTTAACGCGAATAATAACTAGGGTGAGTGTACCAGTTATGGTCATACGTTCCTATTATGGTGTGTTCCAATTATGGCCTATGGAATTCCCATAAGCCATAATTGGAACACACCATAATAGGAACGTATTACCATAACTGGTACATCTACCCTAATGGTTCGTTAGTGCAATGTGTTCCTATAGAGGCGTATGGAGACTCCATAAGCCACTATAGGAACACATTGCACTAACGTACTTCCACTATTGGTGCGTTTACCCTATAGTAGGGTGGTTCAAAATTTAATTTTTGCTCTATTAAGCTCAAATAGACCAATCTACATTGATCGAACCTCTTCATCGACTCTATCTAACTTCAATAACCCGAAATATGCATGCAGCCAAGTTATTAACGAAAGAGAGAGTCGATGAGAAGAATCGATCAATAGCATCAATAGACTTCTCTGACGTTTGTGAATTGCACATGTATTAGTGCAGAACTTTGGGTAAATTCAAAGGTTTTCTTGCACTAATACTTGCACTATTTACCCCGAGTTCTGCACTAATACTTGTGCTTTTCACAAACGTCAGGAAAGTCTATGTAGAGCATCAGCGACATTTTTTAGAAATTTCAAAGCAGATCCGAGGAATGAACGCAAATACTGAGGATTTCGGGGAAGATTTATGAAAAGACTGCTGGATAATAAGATCTGAGTCCTAAAAAAATTCGGCCATTTCAGGGAAGTTTAGAGAACTTCAAGGTGGTTTTATTTTTAATAATTACTTTATTTGTACAGGCTCAATCGAATACAACTTTACAGAGCCGAGTTATACTTTCCGTTATACATTATTACTGTCTCATATTTAAAGTTAAAGGAGAAACTTCAAGGTGGTTCAATCAGTTTAAAAAGTTGGAGGGTGGTGTACAAGACACGACCGCATTGTTGACGTAGGACTACGAAATTTTTGTTCTGTTTTCTAGTTTGTTGTTTCGGATATTATTTTGAAATTAAGTGAATTTCATAACTCAACTCTTTTGTAGTAAGTTGTGATGACCCTGAACTGTGATTTTTTTTATGGCAAGCTTTACTATAATCACTGGACCTCGTGTTTATTCGAGTTTATTCATATAACTTGCGCAGGAAATCAGTTTGGCATGGTATTTGTGACCAGCATACCTTCCGGTAGCATGAAACAGGTCAAAATTTGCCCAAATCTGCCAATAAATTTGTTTGCTTTGCATTTGCTTATAGCCAAATAGTGAACTTTTCGGAAACATTAACGCCAAAGAACTCACCAACACACTATTTGTTACATGCCTCATGCATGTGATTTGGTGTACTGCACACTTCTTCCGATATTTTGATCACCTTATAGAAAAGGTGATGATAGTTGAATATCGGGAATTGGAATTCAAATTATTCTTAAAAATATATTTATATATTTGTTTACTGGTTCAAATTATCGCTGAGAAGATAAAACTTTCATTTTGCAAATTGAAGCTTCTGTGATGTTTTATCGAATAATTTACCGCTTCAATGAGTACTGCTACTGTCCTCTGTTTTATCAAATTTAATAAATAATATTGAATACTTTATTTGTAATACAAGAAAGAGATTAAGAGAACAATGATTTTCTTTAACAATGTATCTTAATTAATATGTAATATTGGCAAAAAATATAATTTTTGAGAGAAATGAATGTATCAAATAATTTCATTCTTTTAAAACGAACGTTTCTTGAAACAATAAACATACACACTTAGATTTGTTGCCGAGATGGGCACCACCGAGCAGCTCGGCAATCTATTTTGCTGCATCTCAGTGAAAATTTTGCCGAGATTCAGTTAACAAACGGGAATTTTGCCGAGATCGGCTAACTTGCATAAATTTGTAAATCAGTAAAAATAAATGCCAAGCTTGCTCGGTGGTGCCAATCTCGGCAAAAAAATCTAAGTGTGTAGAAAATATAAGATTCTATCAAATGTTTCTTCTAATTGAGGGTTGCATATAAAAATCACATAAAGATAATGCAAAATGCAAAGCAATGTTAGGATAAATTTTAGCGTTCAATTTTCTAAATTGCACTGTGGGAGTCCCAACTAGTAGTTGGCGACGCATTATCTTTGACCGCTTTCTTGTTGGCTCGACACATTCGAACGCTTTCAGCAACAGTCCGCATCTGTTTCGCAGATTTCCTTGCCTCCTGGTCTCTCACGCGCTTCCTATAATTGCGGAGATATTTAGCAGCCATGTGTTGACACATTTTGAAGATTTGCACAGAATTTCTCAATCAACACTTGTCTCGCTTCGAATATTGACTCTATCCAACGCGGAGTGTAGACACTAAAGCATTTACTGTACTAGTTGGAATTTACAGAGAATGCTACAATGCATAATCACGATGCTCTTTGAATATGATGTCTGTGTTTGGGAAACAATCACAAAATTAAATTTTGATTGCCTTTCTTTTTGAAGACGCCGGTATCATGAGTAGTTTGCTATCCAGTAGCGACACTGGCTCCTCTCCTTTTGTACTCTCTGTACTTTAAGTCTGTGCTCTGTATTATTTAACAGTTCGGACAATTTCGAAGATGTTGCGCAGCAGGAGAATGCATACGATGAGGGTTTCTCAGTTTATGAAAGTGATTCGGAATAAATTTAAATAACCGATAAGACTACACATAGAACATAATTTATTTCTCTAACAAATTATTTGATTTTTGTATCATTTTGATGTATTTAGTGACAAATTGAATGGGTGACTCATGGGTTACTATATATAAATTCTATTCTAACTCTTTTCTGAAATGAACTTGGTGGCCCTAAAAAGAGCCGTTTTGTTACGGTGGTGATAAGTTTTAACCTCCGAAACCGTACAGAGTGCGTCCCTGTCACTTCAGAGTGTAGACGATAACCATGGCCGTGACGGTTTTGCGCTTGGCGTGTTCAGTGTAGGTGACGGCATCACGAAACATAATTTCTAGGAACACCTTCAGCACACCTCGGGTTTCCTCGTAGATCAGACCGGAAATACGCTTGACACCACCACGTCGACCCAGACGACGGATGGCAGGCTTTGTAATACCCTGGATGTTATCACGCAGAACCTTCCGATGACGCTTGGCGCCTTCTTTTCCAAGACCTTCCCTAATAAAAATGTTATGGTTAATTTGCTTAACGACGTGTTCGGGGTATCATTCAAACCATTTGTGGAATAGTTCAATCATTTGGGTTATCGTTCGTTTATGGTTATTTTTATTAGGGTTTGCCTCCCTTGCCACGACCAGTCTTGTTGCTTGCGACCTGAACGCCAAGCATCAAGCCTGAGGCAATAGTCAGCAAACCCAGAACGGCACAAACTTATACAACGATCTGCAGGAAGCCCACTACAACATCCTGTGTCCGGACACTCCCACCCGGTTGAGTCGATCCGCAACCGTGCCAGGGAGTTACACGTACCAGCATCCAGACAGATGACTCATACTCTGAACCTTGACAGCCCAACCAAAGATCTTATCAGGCTCCGTAACACCATTCGTAGGCAGTTCCAGCGTTCTGGGCTGCCCCACTTCAAAACCAATGTCAATAGGCAAACCAAAATTATCCAGGCCAGGATGGTGGAACTCAGAAATAACGATTTTACCAACAAGATTCGCTCTCTCCCAGATTGTTCAAAACCATTTTGGAAGATGACCAAAATGTTGAAAAATAAGTCGAGACCGATCCCTCCGGTTTCCTCTGTTGACCCATCCATACTCATAACCCCAGTTGAAAAGGCCCATGCTCTTGGCCAACATTTTGTAATTTCACATAATCTTGGCCAAACCATGGTGAGCCCCCATGGGCCTGCCGTACTGGAGGCAATGACTAGAGTCGCTGACACCCCCGTAGTAGTGCATGATGATAGTAGAACATCGGCTGATGAGGTGATAGCAGCTATTAGAAGTACTGTTGCGTGCAAGCCCCTCGGACAAGTGAGCCAAAAGGATGACCCAACCAGTACAACGAACGAACGTCAGATGTAGGGAGTATACATAGGTCTATTGTCTATTGTCTGATTGAAATTTGTTGATATTGTATGTGAAGTGAAATACTCGAGTGAGGACAGAAAGAATTACCCTTAGCCGAATTTCGTAAGATTATTTACTAATTTGTTCCTATGAAATACCTTAAAACTATTGAATTTACAACTAAACCTACAGATTAAAACTAGATCTTAAAGATCCGTATATTGTTCGCACCTAGAATTGTTTGGGCACTAAATTGTAAGTACGAATTTGTTGAACTATTCAAGCTGGTTAATTAATCAATAAAATTTACAGCTTGAGCCTGTCTTGAACCATAAAAGGACTTTGCTTCAAGAATCCCTAACGTTGCGAACAAATTCTCAAGAATTTACCGACTACGGTTCTTGGAATGACGCGAAAGACGCGTTTACAAACAAAAGCC